GGGTTTTCTTTTCATTTTATCTTTTTTGTTATTTCATAAATTTTTTTCCTCTTTGAGGCCTGTAGATTAAATAAAAGTTTAATAATGAGGCTACGGGTCTTTTTTTTTTCAGAAACCATTTAAAGTTTTTTTTCAGAAACCATTCAAAGTTCACCTAGCAACAACCACTTTAGTTTCATCTTCATCCTCATTAAAGCATCCCAAAGATGCAGCAAGCAGAATTTTATTTAACACCTAAAATGCACAGTTTAAAATTTATTATTTACATGTTTTATTAATTTACTTTTTATTTAATTTTTAGGTTTGTGTGGTTTTTTTTTAATTTTTATTTTTTTTCATTTTATCTTTTTTGTTATTTCATTTATTTTTTTTTCTCTTTGAGGCCTGTAGGTTAAATAAAAAGTTTAATAATGAGGCTAACGGGTTTTTTTTTTCAGAAACCATTTAAAGTTCATTGTACTTAGCAACAACCACTTCAGTTTCATCTTCATCCTCATTAAATGCACAGTGTAAATTTATTAATTACATGTTTTATTAATTTACTTTTTATTTCATTTTTAGGTTTGTGGGGTTTTTTTTTTGTTCATTTTATCTTTTTTGTTATTTCATTCATTCTTTTTCTCTTTGAGGCCTGTAGGTTAAATAAAAAGTTTAATAATGAGGCTAACAGGGGTCTTTTTTTTTTCAGAAACCATTTAAAGTTCATTGTACTTAGCAACAACCACTTCAGTTTCATCTTCATCCTCATTAAAGAATCCCAAAGATGCAGCCAGTGGAATTTTATTAAAACACCTAAAATGCACAGTTTAAATTTTTCATTTACATTTTTTATTAATTTACCTTTTTTTTTAATTCTGAGATTTGTGTGGGTTTTTTTTAATTCTTTTTTTTTTATTATTTTATCTTTTTTGTTATTTATTTATTTTTTCTGTGAGGCTTGCGGGTTAAATAAAAAGTTAAAGTTTTTTTCAGGAACCATTTAAAGTTCATCGCACCCAGCAACGACCACTTCACCCTCATTAAAGCATCTCAAGGATGTAGCAAGTAGAATTTTATTTTACTCTTAGATTGTAAGCTCCCAGGATCAGGGCTCTCCTATCCCTCTTGTATTGAACTGTATTGTTGCTGTATTGTCTCCCGTTATATTGTAAAGTGCTGAGCAAACTGTTGGCGCGATATAAATCCTGTATAATAATAATAATAATATAAAATCCTGTATAATAATAATAATAATATATAAATCCTGTATAATAATAATAATAATAATAATAATATAAATCCTGTAATAATAATAATAATAATAATATATAAATCCTGTATAATAATAATAATATAAATCCTGTATAATAATAATAATAATTTTTAACACCTGAAATGCAGTTTCCATTTTTAATTTGGTATTAATTTACTTCTACTTTTTTTTTTTCATTTTGAGGTTTGTGTTAAATAATGAAGCTATCAGTGGTCTTTTTTTTTTCAGGAAACTTTTAAACCAAAGAAACCACCTAATTTTTGCCATCCTTATTGATTCTAATTCATTGCGCCAATAGGGCAATATTTTGCCAGAAATGTCCGACTATCTGTGGCTACTTACTTGAAATATATAAATAGTGACCTCTGAAAAAAAAGAAAATTTAGAATAAAAAAATACTGTAAATTGTAACTTTAAAAAAAAAAAAAAAAAATTAAATTGTAAAAAGAAAAATTGAGTAAATTAAAAATAAAGATTATCTGAATTATCGACTGTAACTGACTGGGGCATACTGAAAGGCTGGCCTAAAGCTTTAATAATCTGTGGACAATCAGCCTGTAATTACCGTCTGTATGATAATGTACAGAAAGACCTGATATTATGTTGTGATTCATCCCGATGAAGGCCATATTTATATACAAGGCTCCAGAGACCTCCCAACCTCCAGCGACCTCTCATAGAACCAGACCAAGCTGAGGATGGGCACTCCGGTGATGTTTCATAGTTGTTATGGAAACCATAATTCGTTAATTTTTTGTAAAATCCTAAAAATGAGAAAACATGAGAACAAATATACCATTGTATTGTTGTTTGTCTTAAATTGCATGGTAGTGATGTCATACCCATGAAGAAAAAAGTCATTTGAAGCCTACATTTAAAGCGACAGCACACAAGAATGCATTTTTTGCAGATATTTTTTTGTAGGAGCATTTTTATTATGTCAAAGTGACAGTACAAAAGAATGTATCTGTGTTTTTCTCTCCTTAATTTTTGTGTGTGTGCATTTTATTTTATATATTTTTTTCCTAAGAAAAAAAAGAGCAAATATACAAATTTAAAGTGAAAGTATAAAAAAGGGATGTATTTGTGTATTTTCCCCTATTTCTGCATGTGTATGTTATTCTTTGAATTATTTTTTTATAAAAAAAAAGAAAAGCTAATTAAAAATTGTAAAGTGGCAGCATAAAAGAATGTATTTGTGTTTTTTTCTCCCCTTAATATTTGGTATGTGCATTTTATTATTTTATTATTTTTTTTAAGAAAAAAAAAGCAAATTAAAAAATTTAAAGTGAATGTACAAAAGAATGTATTTGTGTTTTTTCCCTTATTTTTGCATGTGTATTTTGATATTTGATATTTTTTTCCTAAGAAAAAATGTAAATTAACAAATTTAGAATGAAAGTAAAAAAGATTGTTTTCTGGGTTTTTTTTTTTTAAATATTTTTGCATGTTTATTTTATTATTTGATTTTTTTCCCTAGAAAAAAATCTGACCATCTCTGGTAGAGTGTCCGCAGTGTCTGACCATCTCCCGAAGAGTGTCCGCAGTGTCTGGCCATCTCCCGTAGAGTGTCCGCAGTGTCTGGCCCATCTCCGTAGAGTGTCCGCAGTGTCTGGCCATCTCCCGTAGAGTGTCTGCAGTGTCTGGCCATCTCCTGTAGAGTGTCCGCAGTGTCTGGCCATCTCCCGTAGAGTGTCCGCAGTGTCTGGCCATGTAGAGTGTCTGCAGTGTCTGGCCATCTCCCGTAGAGTGTCCGCAGTGTCTGGCCATCTCCCGTAGAGTGTCCGCAGTGTCTGGCCATCTCCCGTAGAGTGTCCGCAGTGTCTGGCCATCTCCCGTAGAGTGTCCGCAGTGTCTGGCCATCTCCCGTAGAGTGTCCGCAGTGTCTGACCATCTCCCGTAGAGTGTCCGCAGTGTCTGACCATCTCCTGTAGAGTGTCCGCAGTGTCTGACCATCTCCCGTAGAGTGTCCGCAGTGTCTGACCATCTCCCGTAGAGTGTCCGCAGTGTCTGACCATCTCCCGTAGAGTGTCTGCAGTGTCTGACCATCTCCTGTAGAGTGTCCGCAGTGTCTGACCATCTCCTGTAGAGTGTCCGCAGTGTCTGACCATCTCCTGTAGAGTGTCTGCAGTGTCTGACCATCTCCTGTAGAGTGTCTGCAGTGTCTGACCATCTCCTGTAGAGTGTCTGCAGTGTCTGACCATCTCCTGTAGAGTGTCCGCAGTGTCTGACCATCTCCCGAAGATTGTCTGCAGTGTCTGACCATCTCCTGTAGAGTGTCCACAGTGTCTGACCATCTCCTGTAGAGTGTCCGCAGACTCTACGGGAGACGGTCAGACACTACAGACACTCTACTGGAGATGGTCAGACATTGCGGACACTCTACAGGAGATGGTCAAACACTGTGAACACGTTACGGGAGATGGTCAGACACTGCGGACACTCTACAGGAGTTCGTAACACACTGCAGACACTCTACAGGAGATAGGTAGACACTGCAGAACTCTACATGAGATGGTCAGACACTGCAGACACTCTTCGGGAGATGCTCAGACACTGCAGACACTCTTCGGGAGATGGTCAGACACTGCGCACACTCTACATGAGATAGGTAGACACTGCGGACACTCTGAGATGTTGAGACACTGTGGATACTCTTCAGGAGATGGCCAGACACTGCGGACACTCTACAGGAGTTGGTAAGACACTGCAGGACATTCTACAGGAAATGGGCAGATACTGCAGACATTCTTCAGGAGATGATAAGACACTGCGGACATTCTACAGGAAATGGGCAGATACTGCAGACATTCTTGAGGAGATGGTCAGACACTGCGGACACTCTACAGGAGATGGTCTGACACTGCAGACACTGTTCAGGAGATGGTCAGATACTGCGGACACTCTTCTGAAGATGGTCAGACACTGAGGACACTTACAGGAGATGGTCAGACACTGCGGACACTCAGGAGATGGTCAGACAGTTCAGACACTGTTCAGGAGATGGTCAAACACTGCGGAATGTCTACAGGAGATGGTCAGACACTGCGGACACTCTACAGGAGATGGTCAGACACTGGACACTCTTCAGGAGATGGTCATACACTGCGGGCACTCTAAAGGAGATGTTCAGACACTGCGGGCACTCTAAAGGAGATGTTCAGACACTGTGGACACTCTAAAGGAGATGTTCAGACACCGCAGACACTCTACTGGAGATGCTCAGACACTTTACAGGAGATGGTCAGACATTGTATACTTGCTACAGAAGCTGGCCAGCCAATGCAGGCTTAAATGCTGATTAAGGACATTTTTAGGGCAGAACTTTAATTGAAGTAAAAAAACAACTAAAACAATCCCTCACATGAAAGGGAAGAGGGGACGATGGGATTCTGTATCTGTATAATTTTATTGTCATGTTTTATTGCTAGAAGTTCTTTGTATGTCAGCATCCAGGATATATATGCATCAGGGGCAAAGAGGGCAACCACAGGACTGATGTGACAAGGAGAAATCCAACACTGGCTTCACTACTCGGAGATAAGCTGCTCTCTTCCTGGCTTTCCTGGTTTTGGCTCCAGTTGAGGTCACATCACAGAGAATGATTTGTGATTTTTGTCTACTATTTTTATTTTACTCCACAACAATGTTCTCACAAAAAAAGTAAATTCACAAATATAAATATCATCCATATAAATACCTTCTCCCAGTATTGCTTCCTATCCTGCTCTGCTTAATAGAACCTCCCCATCAGGGGCGGACTGACCATTCGAGCACTCGGGCACTGCCTGAGGGCCCAGGGTCAGTAGGGGACCCCATGAAATGCCCCTGGTACCTTTTATAGGCTTTTTGGGTGTGCTTTGAGTGAGGGCAAGGACACAGGGGCCCCATGATCCCCTATTGCCTGGGGGGCCCCATGAGTTGTCAGTCCACCCCTGCTCCCCATAATTGCCAAGCAGAATCTAGTAATATATTAAAGCCCAACTCTGTCACGGTCTGGGTCAGGTTCAGAGACCAGTTGCTACAGCAGTGTAAGGCTTACCTGAAACCAGCAGGATAGGTACACAAGCGGGTCCCCCTGGGAATGACACAGCTCATCTGAGGTGCGTGGTCTAAGTATTAACCGGTTTTCACCAGAGCTCCTAATGGTGGAGATGGATTTGGCTGTGTGTCAATACCAGGTCGCAGATCTCAGGATCACCCCACCAGGGAATGAGCAAGCTGGAGACCAATAGCGGATCAAACAGTTTAGGGATCAAACGGAAGCAGAGTCAGTCACAAGCCAAGGGTCGGTCACAAATGGTAGTAGATTAGGATGAGGCAAAATCGAAGTCAGTAGCAAGCCAAAGGTTGGTAATGACGATGTAGACAGCAGCAGGAACGATAAGCGAGATATTGGCTGGGAAGGCACAATAATCTGGCAAGGAGGACGTGCATGAACATGGCTTTTATAGGAAGTTCATGGGAGGAGCAAGGAGTTCAAGGTTCAAGACAAACAGGGACAAGGCAGGATCATCCAAAGAATTGTCAAGGGAGCTGTCCAGCATTCCAGGTGGCTCAGTGAGCAGAAACACTGTCTCTCACCGCAGAAAGCCCAGGTTCAATCCCAGGCACTGACAGATAGAGACCTTGGTCCACCACCAGGGCTAACCCTTCCCTGCTCTACCCAAAAAATGGTTTGGCCCTGTGGATCCCCTGCAGCACTAAAAGCCCGTGGGAAGGGAGAAGCTTGGAGCCACAAGGGATTGGTGCTGGAGTGGGGGCATATAAGAGCAGGGTGGGGCATGTTAGAGGATAAGTGGAGAGGGGGCAGTTCCTCCATGTGTGCATTGCTTGTTAGAGCACAGTGGGCCTTACAGCCCATGAACACTGCACACATGGATGATACACCACTGCCCCTGTGGCTCCCCTGCAGCACCAGAATCTGGCTGGGAGGGGGGAGGAGGAGAAGCCGGCAGCTGCAGGGGATTGCACACATGGATTACACGCCGCTGGGTTTTGCTATATATACACTTCAATATTGCTCAGTAAGTTCAATTCACAAAGCTGTAACGAAATGATAAGGATCTGTATTTTAAGCTATGGAATGTAGTTTTTAGATCTCATTGGCTCTTAACTGAAAATATATACTGGTATATAAAGCATATAAATCCTAAAAGGGCAGCTGAAAAATATTTAATACATAAAGTATATACTTCAAGTAAATAAAGTCATAAACAAAAATGTCATGTATGCTTTGATACAAATGGAGAAACAGAAAAAGGGCGCACCGACCTAGTGCATTATCGTTTAAAATAATTTATTAAAGAAACAAAAATAGGTATCATACTCACAATGGACATAATAACACAGGCATGTCAAACTGAACAAGGTGTATGATCCAGACAACATCTGAGTCCATACGATGGAACCCTGAATGACCAACTGGCTAACGCGTTTCGAGGACACAACCTCTTCCTCAGAGCCAAACATGTATGCTTTGAGTTTCAAGTCTTAATTGTTCTTTTTTCTGTACAATTCGAAGTACATTTAGACCTAATAAATCCCTTAGAATCATTCCAGAGATTCCTTTTTGCACCCATTATCTTTATTTCTGTTTCTACAATTCATTCTGCTCTCTCAAAATCTCCCTTTGTAATCACACACATACACTAAGATCAGAAAGTGTAAACAATGACGAGTGAACAGCCTGAGTGAAAGAACACATTCCCAGCATCCCTATATATGAGCATGTTCCTCCGTGCTGACTATTGGATATTGCAAACTTTAACAGTGCTGTGCTGATCAGTTGTTTAATTAGTGTGCCAGAAGCATCTCTGAGAATGGAATCAAGCAACTTATGGGCAAACTTCTCAACTCGGGTGCCAAGTGGGATCCCTCGGGCTACAGCGAGTACGGGACCTAGTTTGCCCTGGATCAGTGCCATAAGTTGCCATGGTGCGGATGGACTGCCCACCAGTCTCATACTAACCAATGATACTTTAGGGCCAGGATGCAAGGCAACATTCATGTTTATGGTGTCGGTGGCTGGGCCACATGCAACATGCACCATAGCAATTAATGATGCTGATCTAGGGCAGGGTCACCCTTAGCCTCAAGGAGAGGAAGGAAGTCTCTGCTTCAGATCTGCTCCACCTCACACCCTGCTATGCCTCTGGAGTCAAATGTAGAGCTCTATTAGGAAAGAACTGTAGGATGGGAGGGTTCTCTGATTACTATGTTATTAGCAGGTCTGTGAGAGGGGGAGGACTGTTTGATTGTGGGACTCTGTGATGGGGGGAGGGCTGTGTGATTAGAGGCTCTGTGATGGGAGGACTCCATGGTGATGGGGGGACTCTATGGTGTTTGAGAGGCTCTGATGTGATGGGGAGACTCTGTGGTTATTATTATTATTATACAGGATTTATATAGCGCCGACAGTTTGCTCAGCGCTTTACATTATGGAGGGAGACAGTACAGTAACAATACAGTTCAATACAAGAGGGCTTTGAGGGCCCTGATCCTGAGAGCTTACAATCTAGGAGGGAGGGGATAGTAGTACAAGAGGTAATTAGCTGTGTGGGATGGAGTGGTAGGAAGAGTAGAAGATTCCAGTATTAGCTGGGGTCGGGGTAGGCTTCCCTGAAGAGATGGGTTTTCAGAGTGCGCCTAAAAGTAAGCAGAGTAGGCGATAGCCTGATAGATTGGGGTAGGGAGTTCCAGAGGATGGGTGAAGCCCTTGAGAAATCCTGGAGACAAGCATGGGAGGAGGAGACAAGGGAGCTAGAGAGTAGGAGGTTATATGTGCACTCATAGGTAGACTCTCATGTAGTATAGGGGGGCCCACAATGTATAGGGGGACTGATGTGAATGGTGGACTCAGAAGCAAAGGGGTGACTCTGACATGATGATTACATTTTTTAATTAGAACTGGGGTGCCTGTAAATTTTGAATACTTTTAAGGGGTGCCACAGCCGAACAAAGGTTGAGAAATGCTGGTCTACACCAGTTCCTTGGATACAAATGGAGAACAGAAAAAGGGCGCACCGACCTAGTACATTATCGTTTAAAATAATTTATTAAAGAAACAAAAATAGGTATCATACTCACAATGGCTCTGAGGAAGAGGTTATGTCCTCGAAACGCGTTAGTCAGTTGGTCATCCAGGGTTCCATCGTATGGACTCAGATGTTGTTTGGATCATACGTCTTGTTCAGTTTGACATGCCTGTGTTATGTCCATTGTGAGTATGATACCTATTTTTGTTTCTTTAATAAATTATTTTAAACGATAATGCACTAGGTCGGTGCGCCCTCTTTCTGTTTCTCCATTTGTATCCAGTGTATTCGGACCACCCCGGTCTGTTGAGGGCAGCAAGCAGTGCATATTCCAGAAAATTCCAGAACATTCCTATTGGGTCTACTGAGTCCATTCCTAGCGCAGGAGAAAAGTGTTTGTTGTGCTACACCAGTTCCTTCCCTGGCAAAATGCATTTCTAAAGGGTTCCCCAGGCTGTGTTCTTTCACTGTTGCATTGAGCAGGAAGTGGAGGTGTCACTCCCCCTGCTGTTATGACGAGCCAAAAACAGAAGCTGCAGCTACAGGGATAGATGACTGAGGATAAGCACACATTTTTCGAGAACATTTCAACAATATTAATATACCATTTTGGGTCAGTGATTAATGCTCTTTGTTGATACCTAATGTAATAAATGTGACTTTTGTAATTCTGTCAATATTCCTGTATCTCGTGCTGCCATTTTCCTTGGCATACTGGGACTTGTGGTTCCCTAACAGCCAGGGTTCTGCAAGACGTCCTTAGCGAACGATGTCCTGTGTTGGCCAATCTGCCCCCTGCTGGCTGTGGCTCCCATGCCAGTCTGTAGAATTCCTTGAGCTTTTGTTTTCCTCTGTTGTATCACTGCTGTAGCTCCGGCATCGCTCTGTCTGCTCTATGATAAATGTTATTGCAACCCTTGTGCTGCTATCTACTCCCACTGTGACATCTGTCACTTTCAGAACTACTGATGGCTCTTATCTGTCACCAGCAGGGACAGGAGAGTGGCTGAAAGACACAGTGAGTGCCAGCTGACATTCACCAGCCGCTCGTCTCGCGGCGGGAGCCGGAACAACGAGGCCGCGTCTGCGAAAGGCGTTGAATGTGATACATTGTGCTATACACTGCCAGATTCTAGTGTTAATGGTTTATAATAGCTTCTAGTGTGTGCAAATATAATACCACATTCTGATGGCGGTACAGGTATTGCCTTCCTCTGTGTTAGGGATCCGGGTATGACCAGAAATGTGTGGACTGACACAGGGAAGTAGCAGGCTTCAGGAACACAGGCGTAGTCAGGGCTGGAGAGGTGGAATGGTCAGGCAGGACATTAGGTACTGTCAGGCACCGCCCGGCGGGATCTCTAGCACCCACAGAACGGGATTCCCCAGGGCGCGGAGTCTAAGCCCCAGTGTGCCTTTTCACCAGAGCCCCTGATGGTGGGGATGGACTTGGTGCAGGACTGAGACCAGGTCGCGGCCCCTGAGTGCACCCAACTGTGGTAGAGGGGTCCGCCGAGGGTATGTACCGTGGGAAAGCCTGACGTGAAGAGGCTGGCAGACCTGGTACCAGGGACAGATCCATGCGGGATGGATGGATCGTCTGGGTAGCATCAGGCGTAGTCAGGCAGGCCAGGTCAGCAACGTGCGGGCAGCGAGGTACCGGAGGAGCAGGCAGAGAATAGTTAGGGTCACAAGCCGGGTTCAGTAACTCACGGGCAGTGCGGTACAGAGGATCAGGCAGAAGGATGGTCAGGCAAGCCAGGGGTTAAACAGGAGATGGTCAGCAGGGACAGGAACAATGCAGAGTCGGCAACAAATCAGAGAGGCAGAGGAACAGGAGCACAGGATACAAGGTACAGGGGCTCATGGGAAACATACACCAAGGCACTGATCACAGGCCTGGTCATCCCTTAAATACACCTCCTGCAATCAGCCCCAGGTGTTGGCTGACTGCAGGAGTGAGCTTCTGGCTGCTGAGAGCACCCGCTGGTCAG